GCGGCCATCTAGCTCAGAAGCAACAAAGCCCACATGGAAGAAGCACACCAGCCTGTGTGATCACGAGGTGTCGAAGGGATCAGGGATCAAAGACCCAGAACAAAAAAATCATATCAATATGAATGAAGGGTGTGTGGAGTAGGACCCAAAGTCCATCTGTAGACAATTGGACGTCCCCTTACAGAAGGGTCACATGGAAGAGATGACCCAGTCAGGATGCACTATAGCACTGATGAAACATTCAACCTTCCTCTAGTTCTTTAATGCTTCCTCCCCCCCACTATCATGATCCAGTTCTACCTTACAAATCAGAGCATGTACATGGGTGCAGATAACAGCTTGCAACACAGGGAATCCAGGACAGATAAACCCCTCAGGACAGATATTGAGAGTGGTGATACCAGGAGGGGAAGGGGAAGGTGGGGGGAGAAAAGGGGAACCGATCACAAGGATCTATGTATAACCTCCTCCCTGGGGGACAGACAACAAGAAAGTGGGTGAAGGGAGACATGGGTCAGTTTAAGACATGAAAAAATAATAATTTATAAGTTATCAAGGGTTCGTGAGGGAGGGATGGAGGGTGGGGGAGGAAGGGGGGAAATGAGGAGCTGATATCAAGGACTCAATTGGTAAGTAAATGTTTTGAGAATGAAGAGGGCAACAAATGTACAAATGTGCTTGACACAATGGTTGGATGATGGATGGATTGTGATAAGAATTGTATGAGCCCCCCAAAAATGATTTTTTTTTTAAAAGGCTCTTTATCATGTTCACAACTCTGACTGACCATAGTTGAGGTGAACGGACTTGTTGCCTGAGCTCACTACTAATATCACAAGGCTACCCTGCCCGGCGCAAAAGGAAAGGTTCATTCTTCTGTAAAAAACTCTTTAAACTAAGACTATCTCAGGTTTCTTAATATATTATCTCAGTCTAGCTTTTCTGCAAAGTGAAATCAAACTACTAAAATGTGTTACAATAGGTCACAAGTATATGCTAAGGCTTTCCCAGAAACATGGTTTTCTTGCTCTTTTGGCCTTACCACCTGCTTGTCTACTTCCGTGTTATTTATTTATTTATTTATTATTAAATACTTTTATGGGGGGCTCTTCCATCTCTTATCACAATCCATACATGCATCCAGTGTGTCAAGCTACACTTGTATGTTTAACAAGTAGATATTGCAGGTTCTGTAGCCACAGGTATCTCTGCACTCATCACCCAGAGTCATGGCTTGAATGGCCTCTCCAGTATAATTAATGTAAATATTAACGGGTTAAAAGCCACCATTTTAAAATTGTCAGAAAAATTAAATCCTTAGCCAAAGTAGCCTTGTAGAATAAACAAGGTCTGAATTTGTTATTCCTTAAACAAGGTAAACTATGCACCATACTTTAAAAAAATGTTTTATGCAAACAAAACTGGGATTGTACAAGAAGCTCTCGCTTTAGTCAGAAAAAGTGTAAAAAGTATGATAAAAAATAAAATTTACAGGCAACAGGTATAAAAAATATTTAATTGGTCTCCTTGGGTCGCTATCTTAATTACTGGTCTGACTGGTCCCCTATTATTCATTATTAATGCATTAGTAGAGTTCACATAAAACAATATCGAGTTAAGGATCCCTGGTGGTGTAGTGGCTATGGGTTAGGCTGCAATCTGCAAGGGCAGCAATTTGAGACCACCAGCCACTCCTCAGAAGAAATACTGGGCTTTCTACTCCAAAACTGAATGGGAGCTGTTAAGATATTAAAATCTCAACACACAGCCATAATTTCAGGAAAAAAAATGCTGATGAATCAATGATTTGATTCCCTAAGAAAAACAGCAGGGGATGACAGACTAGCACTAGCCACTGTAATGCCTGTAATCTTGACTGCTGAATGACCTGCCTCCTTCCCCCTCCCTTCTCAGAAAGTCCCAGTAGTGATTGATTTTGAAATGTACTCTGTTCTCGAGATCAGAACATTGTAATTAATAATATTGTTTCTTTTGATGTTGTAACCAGGATATTACTGTTTTTATTTTATTAACTAGGATGTTATCATCAATGCTTTCTCCTCTAATGCTAGCTCTAAAGAATAATAACATTAATTTTGCTTTCTGCTTCTGTCCATGCTTCCTTAAGCTCTAGACAAATGATAAATGAAATTTGGGCCTTTAAAGATAGGCTGAAATGTCCACTCGGGACTGTAATCAAGGAATCGCTTTTAGATTCTAGCAGTCTAGTTATAACTGAATAAAAACTCTTGTAAATTATCAAGACGTTCTAGTGGCTGTCATGTATTTGAACCTGCAACACAGTCCCTCCCCATTGCCAACAGCCTCAGTGCAGGGACAAGGCTCATGGTTGTGCCTGAAACACTTGAGTAGCCAGTCCCACAATGTTGCTTGTTTTCTGCTGGTTTATCTGCTGCAAGGATAAGGCTGTGTGTTTGAAACTGGACCAGAAATCACTGATCAAAAGTAATGTAGTTAAATTGGCGTTGCAGCATCATTTGGCAATCTGTTAGTGGGAACTTTGGCCCAGAACTACTCAGAGGGAAGAGATGCGTGCTGTGGCTCGTGCATGCAGCAGGATGGCACATCTTGTTTGTAACTGATTACTGAGGTGCTAGCAGATACAGCATTCAGTCAGGACCTTTATTAACCTCGCCTTTTTTGGTTATACTTTACTAGGTCTGGAGCCACACAATGTGCCCTTTGACTAGCCTGAACTGTGCACCCAAGACTAATGGCCAATGTCCTCGCAATGAGCCTAGATTCCAAAAACCTCCTCAGTGCTTATGGTGGCAGAACATCCAGTTCTTCACAGGGGAAGTGAAGACTCTGGCCTTCCTGCCATTCATCCCACATACACCTTCAGGACAAAGGTTAATCAGGAAAACTAAGCTATCTGCTCTCTGCCTTGTCTGCAGGCTTCTGCTGAACATTGGCCAACATCTGAAAATGGTGGAAACGAAAACTAGTTGTCGTGGAGTCAACTCCAACTCATGGCTACCCCATGGGGGTCAGGGTACAACTTTGCTCCCTTGGGTGTGCATATGTAATACATGTATATGTTTTCAAATAATGGTGTGTGTATTTTGTTTTCCACACTGCAGTTTTGGGAAAACTCCATTCCCTGGCTTGTGTTATCTTGGCCTTCATGGTGTGCAGTTACTGCTGTAGAAAAGTATTAATAGCAGCGTGGGGCGCCAGAAGTCTCTGTGGAGCCCCAATACTGTCTGGGAGACCCCGGAAGCCAGGAGCCCTGCCCTGGCAAAGAGACTCCAGGGATGCAAAGAGACTCGTGCCCAAGACTGAGACAGCCCCACCCCCACGGGGCCCTTTACTCACTTCGACGCCCAGCCGAAGGCCGCCATCAGGGCAGACCTGGGCTCCTAAACACCCCTGGGCTAAGACCCCCCCCACACACCCCAAGGCCAGGCCGGGTTCTGCGCGATTCCAGATTCCCAGTTCCAAACCTTAAGCAGCGCCTGGCCCAGTGGAGACCCTCTTGACCAGGCCTCATGGAGACCCTTCCCCTCTTAGTAGGGGCTACTATTGCCCTGCCTTCTCCTTCTGAGCCTCACTGGAGTGTTACGGAAGAAATGCCCAACAAGAACCACTGACCACAAATCTGTAAAAGCTAAGAGTAAGTTTATT